CCGAATATTCGAGAATTCGATGTGCATAGCGCATACGGGATGTCTTAAAAGTGACATCCAGTAGGGATGGCTTCAGCTTATGAATACAGCAGAAAGCGAGTCACCCATGTTTTTCTTATTGTGTATTATCACAGTAGGAAACTCCAGCTTATAGACCAACTGCAAAATAAGACATTCAAAAAAATGTTCCCAAAAAAGGTCTAAAATCTGTGCAGCAGTGTTTTTACGCATGCTGATTTCACTACGCACGAGTTTTCAAGCTTTTCAAATGGCAATCACATTTTTGAAAGGCGTTGCAAAACACTTGTTACGGTGTACCTGGCGTAAATTTTGAAAAAAAGCATTACGGTTGAGTGCAAATTCTACACAAAGTGAGTGCCTTTGGAAATCTAAAGCAAGACTTTCAGCCCTTTTGATTCTTTTTCTTGGGGAAATGGCTCTTGTTTGAAACCTGCTTCAGTCTTACGGTAATTTTACAACAGTGAAAAGCGATTGATAAATCGCCCCATACTCTAAATTGACATCAGCCTACAGATCTACATACTGTCGGGACAGCTGTATATCCAATCGCAACTCTCAGTGAGGGTATATCATCTTCTTTGAAGTACGAAAAATCTCTTCACAACCGTCACAGGAGTAGCTTTCAAGTTCCTAAGTCTCTTCACGTCGCGACTAAACCTTTTTCCCATCGTAAATTGTACCATAAGAATGTGTCCATTCTTAGCACTTACATGAAACAATTTGTTCTTAGTTTTTTGCCTTTCATAGGCAGTCTCAATGACGTAAATTATCCAGTCAGTATTCGAAAATCGAATGATATTCGAAAATCGAATAACATTCGAGAACCGAATAATATTCGAAATTCGAATAACGAATGGTATTCGGTTATTATTCGATTCGAAATTTTCCTTTTCGAATAATATTCGATAGTCGAATATTCGAAATTTCCGATTTTCGAATAATATTCGAAAGTCGACTATTCGAAATTTTCAATTTTCGAATAATATTCGATAGTCGAATATTCGAAAATTTCGAATTTCGAATATTCGATATTCGAATATTCGAAATTTTCAATTTTCGAATATATTCGATATTCGAATATTCGAAAAAAATTTCGAATTTCCCCAAGTATAGAGACTAGTGAACCAGTAACTAAACGTACCTTGCCAAGCATCTTGCCAAGCATGCCATTGGTCTGGCACATCTGTTGTCTATAACACAAAAGCCACATTCATATTTTTCAGCATTCAGCGTAAGAAATCGGCCACAGTTCGATGCAAGAGCTTCGCACTTATAAACCTGGAAAAACCACAAATTACGACACCTATCACCAAAAAAATTCCGATTAACCTCCACGGCCACTCCACCAATGTTATCCAGAGTGTGTTTTCTGGAAGAATCGCTCGAGGACCACACAACGTTGAGCTCGACCGGAGCTGTTCCTCCCGATAACCAAACCCGTAGTGATCGAACTGCATCTCATCACATCTGGCACAAACAGAAATTGGATGCAAATCAAAACAACTGCAATTTTCCTCATATCACATTGTCGTCGAATGTCCCGACAGCAGGTTTTTCGCGTTCAACGTTTCCTACTTTGAAGTGACATCGAAAATCCGTCATGAAGATCGGATCGAGGTTTTGGACCTTACAAATCCAAGCTCAAAAATGAGCACTTCGTAGAATGTACCACTTACCTTCACTGTGATATCTCTCCTTTCACCTGCAGCTACGTAAAGTTTGGTTTGCGGTGCGACGGTACGTGGACATTTCTGTGGACCTTTTCTCCTAGAGCGACCCTCACGCTGGAATGCAAATTTGAAGGCTTATCTGTCATCAGAAACAAGGACACAGACTTTCCCTGCATATTATGACTTTGTGCAAAGTCTGAGAGCTTGTTCTCGGAAAAAAATGAAAATTTCTTGAGCGCCTGTCACAATTTCTAACAGGTAGACTGTAAGTAGACGATATACTGAAAAATGTGAAAGAGTTGCATGAACTTGCATAGCAGATCTACATCTAGCAAGAATGCGACAGACTAACCGCATAAGATATTCCCTGAGACAGAGCCAAGCAGTGTACGATAATTCTAGCATCAATCAATCCCGGAAACACGGAAATAATTTAAGAGACACCACATAAGGGTACCGAGGCCGAATCTCAATCACAAAAATCACTCCTTCAATAGTCAACGATGTCTCAGCAAGTTGAAAAGAGCCAAACATTAAAAGTGACTAAGTGCATCCGCACGAAAACCTAAAACCTGATACCTGAAAAGAAGGAGATGAACAAATAAACGCCAGCGCCCCGAAGAGGAACACGAAAAACCGAAAAAATGAAAAACGAGCGCGAAAGAACGACAAAAAACGAGTAAGACGAGAGCGACGGCAACTTAATTTCGAAAATGCTAAGCTGCGTATCACAGCAAATTGACTGCGTACATATACAGGGTGTCCCAAAAAAATGTATCGAACGTTTGATCGTTAATATCTCTCTTCCCAAGAAGTCTTTTGCCTTGCTTCAGGTACCGTTTTGTAGAGCTGGCTTCAACTTAGAATTGCAGTATAGAACGAATCACCCATCTCTCTTTATTACTGCAGGATTACGGTAGAAACTTGAAACAAATGGCGTCAATGTGGAAGAAGCTGCCTTTTCAAAATTTTTCAAAAAAATGTGAAAACATGTGTAATAGGGTTTTTATGGAGGCTGAGTTTGATATTCAACTATTCACAAGATTACGAAGCTTTCTAAAAGGTTTAATCACAATTTTTAAGAACATTGAAAAAATGGCCGCTACCTCTTACCTGGCGTAACTCTTCAATGAAGCATCATAACAAGTTGGGAACTTCACAGTTATAATCAGCAACTCTAATTAGCCTAGTGTAAACGTCTTCAGGCTGTTTTGTTTCTTTTCTGAGGCAAAATATGGCCTTTCATTGCTTAAAACCCTTTTTTAAGTTTCGACCATAATCCTACAGTAATGAAGAGAGATGAGTGATTCGTTCTATAATGCAAATCTAAGTTGAAGCCAGCTCTACAGGTTGGTACCTGAAGCAAGGGAAAAGACTTCTTTACAAGAGAGATATTAACGATCAAACGTTCGATACATTTTTTTGGGACACCCTGTATGTGCGCCGGACCCTTCCCATTTTGTGCGCCGGACCCCTCCCATTTTGTGCGCCGGACCCCTCCCATTTTGTGCGCCGGACCCCTCCCATTTTGTGCGCCGGACCCCTCCCATTTTCTGTGCCGGAAGCCTCCCATTTCTTGTCCCGGACCCCTTCAATTTTCTGTCCCGGACCCCTCCGATTTTCTGCTCCGCGGCTCTTCCAAATCTGGCGGACTCGCGACAAGCAAATCTCTGCGCCGCGACCCCAGCAAATCTGGCGTACTTGCGGCGGAAAGATTTGCAAGCCCGCCGGAGGCGTCCGATCTGCCTTCTTTGTGACGTCACAAGAAGGGACCGCCCCCTCGCCCCGCTCTCATTGGCCAACTGGGTCCGCCGCGGCTCTGGCAGATTTCGACTGTCCGCCGGAGGGGTCCGATCGACTGTCTGAGCAGCATTTCATGCCCTTCAAAACGCTATACATCGCACCTTGACAGGCCACCCCCACTACCATCCATTCATTGTTAAGGTTATTGTATAGATTTAGTGAATACGATAATTTGGCTTTATCTTCGTAATATTTTAAACTCATTTTTAGCGAAACTCAAGACTCATAACAGTGGGTTGAGTTGGAACATTGAGTGTCATCAGGAATCGTCTCAGATTGAAAGTGAACTAGTGACGAATTCGGGGATTCCTAAGGCCACGTATTCGTGGCTGAGCAAATGATAGCGAACAACTTTATTGGCTCTTAATAACGCATACCATACCTCACATTATTTCTGATTGTGTCCCTTAACCTTTTCTATCTTCTATATTCTCTAGAAACAGAGAACGAAAATTGGCAGCAGTTTTAATCTGATTAGACTCGTAAACGTTAATACCTGAAACTATCTTCTCACAAGTCCGTTTGCACTTGGTCTTGTTCTTAGTGAAGGGTGGAAAACTGATATCTTTACCATCTTCTGGTTTAAACTCATACAAGACAAATTCACGCGTTACTTGGCCAAGTGAGACGGGAATGAAATCTGCGCTGAGCAGAAACGTTTGATAGAACTTCAAGCATTTCATATTGAAATTGTTACGGCAGAAACCTCTCAGTCTTACAGTCAGTGAGCGGCACGGGCGCACGCGCCGGTTAGTGGCGACGCGAGCTGAGCTGCATATGGAGGGCGGCGGGCCGGTCCTCGAAATCAAGTAGTGCCTGATGTATAATTATGAAACGCAGTAAAGAATTTCCTAGTTTGATTACACGAAGCAGATGATTTTCGCTGTCTGAGCATGTCACAAGTACCACAGTCAACAGAGTTTGAAACGATCAACAACATAAACTCATAGAAAGCTTTCCTTATAAGCGAAATATTACCACTGATGCCAGATAATTTCTGGCTTGTCGCTCATGGTAAACTATTTGCTGTACATCTACCACGTTTGTCCTATTACAGAAATCAAGTCCTATAAATATCCATTTCTGATCACTGCAAGACATCCTGTTTTCATTGAGCATGATACTCATTGTTTCGGTGAGTGTTGTTATTTTTATACGATAAAGAAAGGCGCACTTGCATATGGCTGTATCTTCTAACTTCGCATTCGCTCTCGTTACAGTTGGACCCTTACGTACCCATTTTATCGGACAATTTCTCATGATACTTTACGTTCTTTTCATGCTAATTTCTTTACTAATTATTACAAAGAGCTTCATATTGCACATCTGCAGGAGGGTATGACTATTCGAATTGGAGAACACAGCACAATAAGAAATTTGCATAACTTTTTTGTGCAAAGTCACACAATCTGTTTACAATCTACTTAGAATTAATTTGGTCAACAGCTACCTCTCTGTATGCGGCGTGTGTCTCACTCACCTAGTTAATGTTGCTATTTGCTTGGAATGGACTGCAACCGCTATTATAGTCTTGCGGCCAAATCCGCAAACTATCACGCAATATACGGCAACCGTGTTCGCAATCGCAGTAGTAGACCCATACAAGTGCGCCCAGCTGTGCTTTTCGCTCGAAGTAAAATTGTAACAAATAGGCACTCCGTTGATGTCAACAGCCTTTTCAGAATGGGCTGCAAGATCCCTTGAGACTTTGCCTGTACACTGGTATACTTGTACAGCTTTCGTTAATGGTGGTTGTCATGGTATTTACAACCATACAAATAAATAAAACCTTCAAAGAAGCATCAATGAACGAGAACGTTGGGAAAATGCATCGAAAACTTCTTTTACTCTTATTATTACAGGTAAATGCTACTAGTGGTTTGGAAAACCTAATTGATATATAAAAGTATTTCAGACTGCATGTCCTATTTTACTCTTGTACATACTTAGCATAGTTACAGTTGCTTTCATGTTCATTGGAGCACATACGACATTCTCTTCCGCATACCTGTTCGATATATCGCATTTATATCCTTTGCTAAGCTGTCTTTTAATCATTGGCTTTCTAAATGAATACCGTGAGCACACATTGAAAATACTTTCTTTCAAATATAGACATGAGCTCCCATCATGATCGTTGAGGTCACCGATGTCAGAAATCCTGCATGCATGCAAGGTTTATTGTTTATCGTTACTATGTGTTAATTGTACACAAAATTTGTTTCGCATTATAATTTTATTCAAGCTCTCTGCGTGAATTTTTTAAGCAGTTTGGATGTTCCTGACCGTAGCGATGCCCATCTTATTCTTTTTCTCAACAACAACGACGCTGCTTACAATCGGAGAGAGGATATTCTGCAAACGCACCCGTGGACTATACAAGTTATGTGCTAGATATGGCTTTGTGATGATAAAATTTGAAGCAGCTTTGAAATAGTGTGATTTGCTTTGTCATTGTTGGATAGGTCGAAAAGTGGTGTGATTGATGATTTAACCGATTTACTGTGAAAGCGTATGGCTTGTAAAATGGCTCGCATCTCCGCTCATCATTAGCTGACACTACAAGCTTCTTGCATCACCATTACTATTCTAATTTCAGAAAAACTAGATCGCTATCTAAAATTACGTTGAAAGTATTCTCGCGAAATAGCCACCATGAAGGGTACTTTATACAGAGGTGCAGCATAAGAACCTAATACGCTATGCTCTCCTTACGCTAATTATAAGTTAATCTGTCTCTTCGTTACCTTTCCGCCTTTGCATGATTTTTAGAACTTGACGCCTCGAGAGATGAGTTCCTGGCTTACAAAACGGATGAAATACGTAGAAATGGATAAAGAAACCAGGCTTTCGTTGACAAAGTACTGTTCATAATCAGCACGTCCCTTATCCTCTACACCAAATTTAACTTCCTAGCACAAAGTTTGCAAAAAAAACAACAAGTCGCAAAATGTCAGGCTGATCCGTTACTTTATTCAAGTGATAAGTTATTATGACTTCAGTGATGTTCATTTCAGTGTACATTACACAGAGAAATCATAAACATTTTTACAGTGGTTTGAGGCATTGATCAATGTTGACGTAACACGGCGATACAACTCATAAACGAAAATAGTCATATCGTTTTTTTGGTCGCAAAAGTGAAGATGCAAAAGAATTGATCTTATTCTTGACTAGTTGGTGGCCCCGGTATCACCGGACACTACCATTTGGCAGCTAGCAAAATATGTGTAGTTCTGTACTTACCCTTCTGAAGGCGCTTTTCGACGAATTGCCATTTCCCTAACCTTGGGATTTAATCAGAGCCGGCTTTATCTTCTTACATGTTTATAAGAAAATGGCTGACTAAAGCATGATAAGTTTTCATTTTTTGAATACAAGTGAACAAATCAATAAATCTAGAAGGCCCCAGCGAAATCGCCACAAAAAGTAGTTTATCTTTTTCTCGGGTATCGAAAATATATGTGTGCAAAGTTTCAAAGGTGGATAGATCATCCGTTTGCAAAAACTGGTTAGATTGCAGTTTCAGGAATGAATAAATTTCCGTTCAAAGGGCCGCGTTCTTTTTAAGAGCTACCCCTAAACGGACAATTTTTGATTTTTTATATATGTATAGGTTATCTTTTGGCGACAACTCTACCTAAGAAAGAAATTGGTGCATTTATGCATATTGAAAGTATGTCGAGTCATTTCTAACTCGGTTTGCGAACTGCACATCGTGTGCGCTGCCTGACAATTTCTAAGATTCTACTGGTTTCCAGTGATTTCTTAATTCTTTGTCTTTTTTGGCATGGTCGGATATGTATTAGGTCGGGCCGAAAGTTCGCGCTGTTTTTCAGACCCATCTGAAACACTTAGAACAAAGACAAGACGACGCCTTAAGGCTATCCGATGCAGAATTTCTTCCTGTTCTGATGATTATATTTTTGTTCAGATTCCTTTGCTGAGCGCTCATTAATCGGCAGGGATCTCCAACCCATGATTTTCACCCATCTTGAGTTTGGCTATTTTTTGAACTTTCTGTTTTCAACTTTTGGACTAGCTTAGATAGCAGTTAATAGAATAAACAAAATGCAATACAATACAGTTTTTCGGCATCTCTAAGTGGCTTCTCAAAATTTTTGAAAAATTTTCTTTGATGGTATTAAATTCCATATTTGGGCATCTCAATCCTCAAAGAACAATAAACGACTAAAGTGCGGTTCATAATTATACGAACACCTTAAATTTTGAAAGTTTTTGGACTTTTTGGAAGAAACTCAAAAAGCCGCTGTTACCACGCGATAGAGCACAGCCGAAAACCGTATATGATCAATAAGAATGGAAATCAATGTCAATCTTGGAAGTGTTTTTGCACCTGATGCGATTTTTTAGCGGTTCATAATTATACGAACACTTCAAACAAAGGTCCATTTTTTATTCAAGATTGCGATCTTTCGAATCCAAATTTTTTGTAGAGTTACAGTAACAAAGTCTGACGTATCTGCTACACACTAAAATCAGTGCAGTTCAAAAAGAAGAACTTTACTTTTTTTAGATGGCTCTAAATGCTTTTGAGTGATTGCGCTCCAAAACCATCCGTTCTTCTGTAGTTCACGCACTCTAATTAACTTCTACCAAGGCTATGAGGTAAAATAAGCTCCTTCGATAGGTATTTTGTTTAGCGCTTGGAAAATCTTTGCGTTTCCGTGCCGTTTTTCAACCAAGTTCCAACCTTACCTTGAAGACAGCATAATTTCGACTCTCAAAACTCAGCTTTTCTCCCGCGCAAACACTTGATATGAAGCAGCTGCATTGTTTGCATGATGTTGTATCCGTGCTGAAGTTTTTGGGTTTTTTGCACGACTAGTCTTGAAGCTATGGAGCTACAAACCAAAAAATGCGTGATTGCAATAGTAAAAACAAGGGTTTTGATGAAAGACGTCTGCGTGGCCGAAACAAACGCTCAATGCTGCTGGTTTTTTCTAGTCAAATACACAGTCTTGTAAACTTCTACATACTATAAGCTTACTTCATTGTAGGGCTTCAGAAGCTGTGTTTAGAGGTTTTAAATCGCACCAACTCTAGGGTAAGGTTGGACTTGGTTGAAAAACGGCAAAAAAATATTAAGATTTTCCAGGCGCCAAACAAAATGCAAATCGAAAAAGCTTATTTTATCTCAAAGCCTTGGTAGAAGCTGATTAGAGTGCGTGAACTACAGAAGAACGGATGTTTTTGAAGCGCAATCACTCCAAAAGCATTTGGAGCCATCTGGAAAAAGTAAAGATCCTCTTTTTGAACTGCACTGGGTTTAGTGTGTAGCAGATATGTCAGACTTTGTTACTGTAAGCCTACAAAAAATTTGGACTCGAAAGATTGCAATCTTGAATGAAAAGTGGACCTTTGTTTGAGGTGTTCGTATAATTATGAACCGCTAAAAATTTGCATTAAGCGCAAAAAGACTTCTGAGATTGACATCGATTTCCATTCTTAGAGATCATATACGGCTTTCGGCTGTGCTCTGTCGCGTGGTACCAACGTCTTTTTAAGTTTTCTCCAAAAAGTCCAAAAACTTTCAAAATTTAAGGTGTTCGTATAATTATGAATCGCACTTTAGCAGCCAAGTGTCCGATGCAGCTCTTACTCCTCTTTCTGTTAGACTTCTTTTCCCCCTGATTCGTTTGATAGCTAAAGATAAAATCATTGCCATTATCGTTTTCAGACTCGTCCCAGGCTGTAACCAGAAAATTTTAAACCCAACTTTTAGAACCGCTAAACGCTCAGTTGCTCGCTAAAATCAACATTAAGTGATAAGCTGTTTTTGGAAGCCTCAAATTCCGAAGATTTGTCAGTGTTCAAAGCGATTATGCATTTCGCGAGTTTGCCAAAGTAAGGGCTCTTGGAAAAATTATTTTGAGAAATACTGAAGAGTTAGTTGATGAAGCCGAAAAAGTTCATTGTATTGCATTTTGTTTATTCTATCCAACTGTTATCAAAGCCAGTCCAAAAGTTAAAAATGGAAATTTAAAAATTTAGCCAAACTTAAGATGGATGATAATCATGGTTTAAAGATCCCTGCCGATTATTGAGCGGTCATCAAGGGAATGTGAACAAAAAAAATAATCATTAGAAAGAGGAAGAAATTCTGCATCGGATAGTGCTTGCAACTTTTGTCTATTTTTGTTCTAAGTAGTTTGAGCATGGGTCTGAAAAACAGCGCGAACTTTCGGACCGACCTAATATTAGTCAGTAGCACACATTCCTACTGTTTCGTACGTTAAAATAGGTTTACTGGAAAGTTAAAGGTAGGGGTGTCGTCGATTGCGGCGCATAGTGTGCAGACTTACAAATCAAATTCAATCAAATTACAAATGGGTAAAGATATATGAGCTGAAAAATTGTGCAATGATTCTACATGAACGGCCTACATTTGAACTGAAAAAATTTCGAAATAATTTGAAAAATTTCTGCCAGATTACCGAAAGTACATATTAGGTTGTCCGAAAGTTTTGTCCGTTTTTTCAACCTATCATTAAAATACGTGGAACAAAGATAGGGAAACGCCCCTAAGCACTACCCGACGCATCTTTTCCTCCTCTTTCTAATATCAAGCCCGCATGCCGATTACTCTTTTGGTCACTGAGATAAACGCCGAAATTTCGAACCCATGGTTTTTACTATGTCCAAGTTTGACAATTTTTCGCAATCTTCATTTTCAACTTTTGGAAGACCTTTGATAGCCCTCAGATAGAGTAAACAAAGGGCAATGCAACGCAATTATTTGGCGTATCTAGCTGGCTTTTCAAT